CACCTAGTACCGCACCAGTAGAACACGCCTCTTCTCGTTGTTAGTCTTGTCCTGCTAAAATTTGCAGCTCATAGGGTTTCACAGACGCTATTATATTGACACACCTCCGGTGGTTGAAGCATTACACCCATGCCGGCTGGTACAGCACAATCGCGTTACTTTGTCCCTTTGACCAACACTGGAGACTGATGTGATTTCCACCATCTGCACCCTGCCTCCTGTGGTGAAAGAAGGCGAGCAGAGGACAGCAACGCTAGACACCTCGATCATGCAGCCGTGCTATCCGACCAGGCACGGCGGTCCGATGCAGGGGCAATGTGTGCTCCCCAACCGTTATCTCTACACCTCCCATGACACTGCTAGAGGCGCCTCTGCTGGCGCACTCGTGCCGCACTCGTGCCGCACCCCTCCTTCGTAGGGAAAAGAACCCCCGAGAACACTGCTGTACGCCTATCGTACCGGATAAGAGAGAAAGCCAAGCGACCACACACAGGTTTAGAATCACCTTGTTGCCAATCCCAACATCAGCGTGAGTTCAGGTTGCCACAGCAATGGTGGGCCGGTTGATGATTCAGGACACCGAGCATCGACTTCGACATGACCCTAGCGGCAGCAAACGGCTTGCGACATAAGCTCCCGCCAGCTCCGAGAGTTTCTTTTCGCTCTGTCATCGTCTCGGATCAATCTCCTGGGTTAGGGTGGGGTGCAAGAGAGACAACAGAAGCACGAACAACAATATGTACAACTTTGAACACGAGGGCAAAAAAGCGAGGTGTCCCCGTTGAAGGACCCATCACACACGGTGAGAACTTAATTCTTGTTTTGCGACATCAAATATTTCCGTCCTGGACAATAAAGGACACATGGAATGCCGGGCGGCCGCAGAATTGTGTAAAAACAACGTGCCACCGTACATAGTACGGCGGTGGAGTGGTGGAGTGGAGAACAATGGCGGCCAAATGCCGTCAAGTGTTGCTCGTGTTTCGGCGCCCGCAACGCGTGCTTTCGGTCCAGCCTTGCGTTTTTTATTGATGCTTGGATTCATCCAAAATAGACAGAAGGGAGCTAGGATTGAATGCTTGCGTCCATAGGTTTGAGGAGGTAGGGGAGTCGTGCTGAGCACAAACGTCATCTGCCTATGCCTCACCGAGCTTTGCCCGTGACCACCAAGAAAACGACCCATGTCCAAGACGCTACACGGACTATGTAGGCTATACTCTTGGGCAAATAGCCAACATAGCAGTCGACAGGAAGGCAAGAAAATGGAAAAAATGCCACCATCACCAGCTGTGTCTACCTTTGCACCGTGTCCTCGTGAGTGACGGTACCGCACGCAACTACTCGGAAACACGAAGGAGGTAGTCAGTCAGTCCTGCCATACGGATGCGATCAGTGTACACCTGAATACCTGCAGGGTTCACGGTCGCATTGTGTTCTTGATCGACTTCGGACTTGATCTCGACGTTTGCTTGCGCCGTCCTCAAGCCGTTCATTCCCCCCATAGCTGATGCTTGGGAGCCGGAGTCTAGGGCAATCACATCGTGGTCAACAGATGCACGGGTTCGCTTGCTGACGTCCCATCCGGCGCCGGTTTTCCTTCTGTTGGCGGACGAGGGCGAGGCGCTACCCTCCCCTTAATGTTGTCTCTTATTAGAGCGGCCTTCGTCGCAGGGCACCCTCCCAACCAAGTCGTAGCTGACAGCAACACCGGGGGAGATCAACACACCCTCTGATTTGATGGTGGCGCTGGTGGTTTCGGACTCTTCTTCGCTGGTGGAGAGTCTGGAGCTGACGCGAAGCTATCCGCGACGGCGACCAGATTTTCGGGCGCACTCTGACCTTGTGGCGTTGGAACGGGGGCATCACGTTGGCCGGCATCTTGTTCTCCGCTACTTGCGAGCTCCATCCGACCATTGCTGCTCAAAACACTACTGCCTGTCAGATGAGTGCCTGGGGCGCGCCGATCTCTATGTCGACTTACTGAGAAGTGGCCACAGACACCGCTGCTCTCGTATCTCGTATCCGCCGCCACCGTCGCCGCCACGCACAGTTGAAGAATGTTGTGTCAGTGGTACGCTAGCAAGGGGTGCCGGTTATGCGGAAGAACCAAGGAATACCATCCCCTGTTGGTATGTTCCCTGCAGAGCTCTCGCTTCTTGGTCCCCGCTAAACCAAACGATGGTCTCGTCCTGCAACCTTGATGGGCGCACTTCTTGCTATTGACGTGGACCATATCTTCGCTGGCATGTTTCCTGCAGAACTCTGGCTTCTTGGTCCCCGCAATACTAAACGATGGACTCTTGCTGCATCCCTGATGGGCACACTTCAGGCCGCGGACGTCGACCATCTCTTGCCTGGCATGTTCCTTGCAGAACTCTGGCTTCTTGGTCCCGGCTACACCAAACGACGATCGATCTCTTGTTGCAACCCAGATGGGCACACTTGTCGCTTTGGACATGGACCATCTCCTCCCCGGTATGTTGCTTGCAGAACTCTCGCTTCTTGGTTCCCGCTACGCCAAACGACGGGGTCTTGCTGCAACCCTGATGGGCTCACTTCTGGCCGCGGACGTTGACCATCTCTTCTCTGGAATGTTCCCTGCAGAACTCTGGCTTCTTGGTCCCCGCCACACCAAACGACCGGGTCTTGCTGCAACCCTGATGGGCGCACTTCTGGCCGCGGACGTTCTCCCTCTTTTCCCTGGCATATTTCCTGCAGATTTCTGGCTTTTTGGTCCCCGCTATGCCAAACGGCGGGCTCGTTCGGCCACCCGCATGGAGGCATCTTGGCGATGGCATGATGCTCTGGTTTTGCTGCCACAGCAGTTAGTTGGCGTGCTGCTGGTCGTTGGTGTTGGACAGCGAAATTCCGAACGCCCTGGCTTATCTAATGAGCATACCCGATTGCAGTGTGGAAGATGTCATATCCCATGAACCTAGATCAGACCAACGGACCGAGCACCGGGCGCATGCTCGTATCCAAGCGGCAGGTTACGGAATGTCCTCATTATCTGGTCCTCAAGTCCTCAGAACTCAGAACACAACCCAAGAACCAGGAGGAGCGGGTTCGCGCTGAACTCTGAACCGACACATGGTTTGTTCGTGTGTTCGTGTCAGCTGGTTCGTGTAGCCGTGTCGCCGTGTCAGCCTGTAGCCAGCTACCCCTGTTGACGCCACGCTACTCCGTGTAGTCTAGACTATAGACGCCTCAACAAAAAAACGGGTACTAGCCTTCTTTGAGGTTATGTATACTCTCTAAAAAAGCGTTGCATCCGACCAGATCTTCTGATGGCTCTACTCTGAAGCATTTTTGTGAACACGGACAAGTCTTGGCTATTTTGGGAATATGTAGCAACTGCTGTCACCACCAACAACAACCACAACTCCAACCAAACACAGCGCGGTCCTCACAAGGAAGGGCACACGCACGTGCTCCCCAACCGTTGTCTCTACACTGCCATGGCCCGGTACGGACGCTTCCACACCCCACTCTTCGCAGCAGGTAGGGAAAAGGACTCACGCCTATCGGACCGAATACAGTTGGCGCCCGCAGTTAAGAAACGCTTATATTTCAGGTCCAGCCTCGAATTCTTATTGTGGGCTATAAACTCAGCGTATGTCGTTCAGTTTCTTATTTCAGGTTTCTCATTTTTTCGTGCAGCCAAATCCGCTGAATTTCTAAAATCGGCAATTTCTTCTTATTTCATACTACACAACGTTCCAAATATACAAATGATTTACACTGCTTTCCTCGACCCCCGCACTCAACCCCGATTCTCACTACCGACGGCTGCACGTAAGGCCACTCCCTAGAAGCGAAATGTATCCAGCGGCAACGTCTCGCTATCGCTACAAGGTCCTGTACCCCCCTCATGAGTGAGGGCTGAAACTAAACAAATGCATCAACACCGCATGATGCCTCACCCGCACGCTGACGTGCCCAACAACGAAAACTACCCCGTCATTATGATGCAAGCTCCGTGAGGCGAACATTGGGGGTTGTCACCATTTTGCGCCTCCCGCTCCCTTCCTATCTTTTTGAGACATTTCTTATTGTGTGACCCAGATTGAGCTATGTTTCTTACCCCTATTTTCTTATTTTTCGTGAAAAAGGGAGCCCCAATTTCTTAACGAAATATTTCTTAACTCCGGGCGCCAACTGTATGAGAGAGTAGCGACCACCGCAGGAAGAGAGAGGCTAGCCTGGATGGTGTCAATGCGTCCACCCCCTGTCCGTTTGAGCTCATCAAGTGTTCCACGAGTTTTCTCTCTAGTAGCAGCAGAAACGACAACAGTGCTCCGTCTCGACAACATGGAGGGATTTTGATCGGATGTACGCGAAGCCGATCCTGTATTTAGACTATGTCAGCTAAGTTACGAGGAACAAGCAATATTGCAACGCGAGGGGCACGGGGGTCCCCCGACTGCGCCCGAGCCTAGCGTTCTAGCGATCGATTTTCGCCGCCGCTGTGAGAACGAAAAATACCGCCCTTCACGGATGGACGTGGGCAAGTACAGTCTTGTACCAACCGTGCCGACCTCGTCACAATCGTTCACCATCCACGAAAGGCTTGCTGTCAATTAAAGCGACGACAGAAATAAATGCAACCAAGGCTCCCGCACACAGCACATGTACAGAGTACTGCGGGCCTCCACGATCACTTACTTGGAGGTTCGGGTCAAACCTGGAGAAGGAAGCCTGTAATAGCGTGAACTCGCCACCTACACAACGGTCGCCCCGGTGGTCTAGTGCCTCGTAGCCTGCTAAGGGCCAGGTCATGGGTTCGAGTCCCGACAGAGTGAGTTTTTTCTGGCAATTTACATCCTGGTCTCCGTTGGAAGCGACGCGCTGCAAAGCTCGTTGATAGTAAGTAGACTTGATCGACTTCGTAAGTCGCGAGGGAAGGGATTGCTGTACCCTTCTCGCGATAAAAACCACCTCAGGCAGGAACCGCAGGAGGGGGTCCAACCCCCCCCCTCCAATGTGACCCCGGCTGGATCGTCCAGCTGGTAGAAGTGGAGGATGGGGGTCAGAGGGGCAGACGACAGAGTCCGATGATCGGCGAAAAAGAAAAAAAATAGCCCATCATCTCGCGAAGAATACCTCGCTGCCTGGCTTCCATGCCATGAACCGCAAATCCTACCACGTAACTACAGCAGCGAGGCAATTCCACACAACTGACCTTTGCGCCTCGCTACCTGGCTTCTATGCCACGAAACCGCAAGTCCTACCGCGTATCTCTTAGCGAATCAATATGCATTCCGAGAAACTGAAAGTCCATCAGGCTGGAGAGTTCCAACACAACGCGTAGGAGACGGAGCAGTGCTGCTTATGCTCCGTCTCTGCGCTCGCTGTTGCCCACGACCATCGGCTGGTGCGTCCGAGGACGAACCCGCCAGCCAGGGCACTTTTTCCCTCCATACATGAAGCCTCCAAGAACTTGTGTTTTTGTCGGCAGGCAGAGTCAGTCTCTCTCATGCACATCTTTCTTGTAGGATATTTCTAGGATTCTACCCCCCTTCACCCCCTTGCTCTCGACGTACATAATATTTATTCGATTATGATTGTGATAAACGGCTACCTCACGCGTACATCATATTTATTTGATTTGATTGATTGTGATGCGAAAAAAAGCGTACAACATTCAGAACAAAACGGAAAACCACGAAACACAACCAACTCAAACCCGCGAAACAAGCGCAAGGAGAACAACACGTACTACCACGTGCTACGCCAAAAGGTGGGGCATGGCATGTCGTACCGACGGCAGTACTGCTGTACGCGCATTTCGCCACCCATGCAAGCGGGACAAAGAGATAATTCTCTACGACACAACGAAAACCAAGCACAGCAGTGGAACATGAAAACCACAACCCGACACCCGCTACAGACGCTACACGCAGGTATTGCACTGCACTGGAGTCTTAGTGCGAGTATGTGACAACGGCCCGGAGGCAACCGCCATGGTGGAGGGCGTCGATGGCGTCGTTGGTCTTGTCCACGCCCTCAAACGTGTGGGTTATGTAGTGATCGATGGGCAGCTGCGGGCAGAGTGGGGAAAGCATGGGACGAAAAATCATAAAAAATCTAAAAGCAAAACCCAAGTATGTGTGCGAAACAAGGCACAAAAGACATTCGCTTCGGCCTATTGCGCACTAAAGCAGACATACCCGTGGTGTACTGGCACTAAAGAGACCCAAAGGGGCTAAGTGGCTTGACGACCCTGTTACCACACGGCCACTACATCGTACTACGCCACCAAGTCGGTGATAGGAGACGAACGTACGGTCTGTCTGGTGTTATGCCGTGAAGGGGGGGGGGGAAGGCTTGGTGCATGTGGAATCGGGTGGAGCTCCCACCCGTGCTACCACCGCAGCACCCCGAACCGGCACCCTTGTGCACGATTCCACCGATTAAACGGTATCCTTGAACGTGTCTTCGCAAGCGAGGGTGGGTGGGGTGGGCTTCTTTCTCCTCTGCTCCATGTAGTGCAGTCGTATACATGTGTCTCGGTACTTGGTGGGACATCGGAACAAAAAAAAACACAACCAGAATCAATCCTGGATAACGTACACTGCCGTGGGACAAAAACAAATGAAATTTCAAGGGCGGGTCATCAAGACTTGGAATCAACAGCGTTGACTTGGCAGTATCTTGGGGATTGGCGTGCGGGGTTGGGTAAGGCTCTCATCAACTGAAACACAGGTAACGTTGCTCCCCCCCCCCCCCCCCCCCCCCCCCCCCCCCCCCCCCCCCCCCCCCCCCCCCCCC